CTTGGACCACATGGGTTGTCTGGGAGGGCCACGAACACAGTAATGTGTTTACCAGCTTTTGTGAGTGCTGCCTCCTCATTTTCAAGATGATGTATATGCCTTTCAGCTTGTCAGCACTGCTCCACAGAATAGCTTCTGCAGGCTCAATTCTGGCTAGCATGAGACTCTCAGAGATGAGTGACCTAATTAGATTTAAGATGATCAAAGGCATGGAAACTTCACTTTTATCATGAGAGCATTTATAACAATATTTGTTAGGGCTTTTGTTGTGAAACATTACTGAGCTTATACTGCACAGTACACAGGGACTAAGATGGAAAAAACAGAAAGGATTTAAGAGGCACTTGGGAGATGTGCATTGTCATGTGCAGAGCGTTGGAAGGGTTGGCTGTGAGTAACTGGCTCTTTGTGCATAAATATGATCATTTTGCAGATCTAACACCTAGATGCCAGCTCACTACAAAGACCTCAAGGGGTACAGGACTTCAGGACAGGAGAGCAGGTGAGCTCTGTGTTGTGGGGACCTTTCTCTTCCCTCTTGAAGGTCATCTTTGAAACTTATAGGGCTGAACTCTTTGGGGAACAGGAACACTTTCTAGGTACTCATGTTGGAGCAAAGCATGTACCACTCAGAACAGGGTGTCACTCTTGGTGCAAACACTGTTTACATCACCTTCTCACAGTTGTTCCCTCAGACATCATGTGGGCACTGCCGAGCTGGCGAGGCCCATCTAATTCCCCAGGTGTGGCCTGCCCTGGCCGAAAAACCACTGTCCTCTCAAATAGTCAGGTTTGGAGCCTGGTTCTTATTACATGCATGATGTGATACTGTGTTATTTTTGGTTCTTCTCTATACCACACATTCTTTCAACTCTGCTGTGTTGGCTATAAACTGGATGCTGAATAAATGGCTGTCACATGTGTGAATGAATGAGTGAATCAGGAGGGGACTGCGTGATGGCTTCGGGACCTTCTTTCCCACTTGTGCTTTGCAGGTGGGCTACCCTCTTAGGAGACCACAGCAAACCTCACCTCAAAATCCTCAGCCTCCATTTGAGGTTTTATTTTTCAGGGAAAAAGTGATCTGAGGCCTTATATGCTGTTTGCCCTTCCCAAATTAGCACTGACTTTAACTCTGCCCTGTTTCACCAGCTACGGTTCTAGAATCATTGCCTGCTAAACACTGCCAAAGCTTTGGTGGCAAATGCTAAGGGAAGCTCTCCCATCCTTAGCTCAGTTTCAGATGTTGAGGATGAAAAACCAGACCAGTGGTGGCTGGGACAGTAGCACCTGCGATCCCTTCCAGGTTAGAAGACCAGAGGCAGCATGGCAGCAGCACCTGGAAGCTGTCTCCGGGCAGCCTTTTTATACTGCTGTAAAGAACACACAAGCTAGGGAGACGTCAGGACAGAAGATTGCTTTCTTACAGCTCCGGAGGATGGGAAGTCTGGGACCAAGGCACCCCAGAGGATCGATTATCAGGTGGGGTTGCATCTTCTGGTGGGAAGAACACAGGGTCTTCGCCTGCCAAAATGCAGAAGGGCAAGATGCACAGTACTATGTGACCCTTCACCCCTACCCCATTCTTGGCCTAATCAGCTCTTGATGCCATCAACAGCAAAACCTGAAGTTTGTAGGAGAAGCACTTGGGACCCATAATGGCAGGCTTCCATCCTCCCACTCAGCCACATTCCGCATGGCAGTGGTGCAAGATCCCACTAGGGTGGCGTCCCCTTGTGAGCCTGGTAGATTAGCCCAGTTGGTGACATTTGGTGTTATTCTCGTAAGTGCTGTGTCTAGGTGGGGCATAAACTCCTTGCCAGCTGGAGGAATTCAGGTGGACAGCACCAGTGTCCTGCAGCCCATATCTGTTTTCCTCCAGCTTGGCTTCCTCTCAAGTGCTCTTCCTTCCCCAGAGGTCAGCAGTGGGTGGCCGCTCCTGTGTCCCTGTGCACTCTCAGTCACTTTGGGAAACTACTTTTCTTGAACGGGCCCAGCATGAGCCTTGGGAGCAGCTATCACCTTCCCTGCTTGGTGTAACCTGGACTGTCCATCACAGCCAGCACTGGATCAGGTTTTCAGAGCACACATGCCCCGAAGGCTGAGGCAGGAAAGTGCAGAGGAGATTCCTGAGTTCCTCCAGCAGATGCTGTCTGGATTCATTGACCACATCCGGGTCTCCAACACTTTGGATTATGAGAAGGATCAGCCTGTAATGTCTTTCGAATGAAAGACTTATGTAGATAGTGCTTTGATTTGAGAGGACAAAAGTCTTTCTGTCTTCATAAGGGAGAGGTCTCCATAAGGTAAGTCATGTAGGCAGACACACATAAATAGGGGTGACTCCTGCAGCTCCACTGCCATCCTGGTGCCTTCTCCTTCTTTGTAGGTCTGCTGGACTCAAGTGGGCTGCGGGAAATGCACACTTTTCTCTACTGAATTACACTTCTTTTTGACCTGGCTAGTATTCCTGTAGCCCTGGCACTCAGATGGGAGTGCATGTGCATCCTCTTCACTGTCTGTGGTTGGACCCTGTGGTCCAGGAGGATGCCAGCTGCAGTCAGCCCGGTGGCAGTGACCAGAAAGTGCAAGAGCACAAATGTCCCCATAAGGTAATGCATAGGAGTCCGTCCTCTGCCCCGCCAGCCTTGGCTGGTGTGGGTTCAATACAATGTGACATGGGCAGTGCCTGAAAATATTCTTCACCAGCCCTGGGAGTGTGGAACTCTACGAAACCCTCTGCAGGTTCTGTTGAGTTTCAGAATGTAAACATAAAACTCTTCTAGAAACAGCCTATGGAGATATTTAAAAAGTGCTGCAAAGAAAGGCTTGATGAATTCTTTTTAAAAGACAGAAAAAGCTGGGCAAGGGCAAATAGCTGTAATCCCAGTACTCTGGGAGGCCGAGGCAGGAGGATCAAAAATGTTTGGGTCAGACTGGGCAACTTAACAAGTTAGGAAAACCTTGTTTTAAGTTAATATAAAAAGTCCTTTGATGCCACTCTGTATGAAGGTCCTGAGTTAAATACCAGTAGTACCACAAAAACAAAAACAAAACAAAATAAGAAAAAGATAGAGAAACTCTTAATTTCAAATGTTTTGATGAACTCTCACTGTGAGGAAATACAAACAACCGAGGTACAGACCTTTCACAGAGAAGAGTGTTGCCAAAGAAGAGAGAGCAGAATGAACATGCCAGGTGGGAAGTGTTGAGACAGGTGACACAGGACCAAAAGCATATGGCCATGCATGTTGTCCTGGGGACCCCATGCCACCAGAGAAGATGCAAGCATCTTGTTCCTGACATGATTTACATCTGCGTCCTTGGGAACAATTCTTATGAGAAAACAAACTGCACATTCTCAAGTGGCAAGAAACCACCACTGTTATGGTGGATACCCTCTGTCAACTTGAGTTTAGAAGTGTAACTAAGAGACTCAGCAGGGATCTGGGGTTCTTACTTTGTAATCCTCCTCACCATGTGCAAGAGGAGGGCACGGAGATTCTGTGTGTGCTACATCTGCCCCGGGGGGCAGTGGTGGCCTGTGTATAATATAAGGGAGGAAAAGAGATTCCCCTACTTTGCTCTTGTTGCTTTGCTGCCTTCTGCTGCCTTGAAGTGCTGCCCCTGTGCCATGCCACCCTGCCTTGGAGCCAGCTGATTATGGACTGAAACCTCCACAGACTGTAAGCTAAATAAATCTTTCCTTCCTTCATTTTGGGCATCAGATATTTTGTTTCAGCAACAAAATAAAAGTAGCTAAAACACTTTATGACTGTATTCATGGATCAAAATTAATCAAACAGAACTAAATAGGGATGTATTTATCTGTATGTAGATAAATAAGTAGTTGAGTACAGGGTAGGTTTGCACTGTTGATTGATTTGTGATGCGCGACTTATCATGTGATTAAAACTTGAACACTATGCAAAAAGAGTGGTAATGAAATCGAGACCCTGGAACAGGCATAATTATATGGCTGAACTCTAAGCAGACCAAATCTCCCATTATTTGCCTTTATTTAATTTCAGATGAGATCTAGCATCTATACAAAAGAAGCGCTAGTACAACTAAGACACAGGGACAAACATCAGATGGTGAATTCCAAGCAGTGCAAATCGTTCACAATTCACGGTTATTTAATAGCTGATGAGATCTGACATCATTACTTTTCCACCTTTCTAAGTTCTGTCTGACAAGCGAACCGAGGTTTCCACACTTTGTTTTCTTCTGTCTTAGTGTTGCTGCCTTCGCCTTTGAAGAGCTCTTTGATTTTCAGGAATTCACAGCTGATCATCAATTCTGTGAATGCACAGATCAGTGGAATGGGATGCAGCCACCCTCACAGGTAGTCTAGGTTACATCCACTCCCTTGTCTTGTTCTCATCGTCGTTCTGTCACTCTGTCATTCTGCCCCCTGACCACAGCCCCAGATCTCTTCGGCAATGGATGATCTGTGTCATTACTGGAAGACCTGGAGGCTTGCTGAGCCAGGCGAAAATATCATAGGTCACCAAATTACTGTGCTTTTCCTGTCCTATCAGTCTTTCCTTCCCAGAAAAGTTTATAAATGTTAACTACTTGGAGAGTGATGTTTAAATGTCCAAATGAGTATTATCCTTGATGTTGTCACCTGGATGTCATCTCTGGGATGATTCTGAGCCTTCATTCCTTAAGCAAAGGACTTATCTGTGTCTCTACTGCTGTCTGTCTCCTTACCCTTCTCTCTTTCATCTTAGTCCTTTGGGCTACTACATCACAATACCAGAAGGTAGTAGAATTCTAAACAACAGAAATTTCTCATCATTCTGCAGTCTGGAAAGTCCAAAATAGAGGTCAGTAGATTCAGATTGTGTTAGGTAATTGCTTTGTGGTTCAGTTTTTTACTGTGTCCTGACATGATTGTAGGAACCAGGGTGATCTTAGAGGTGTCTTTTATGAGAACATGGATCTCACTTATGAGAGTCCTGCCCCATGACCCATTGACCTCTGAGAGGTCACAATGCATCCAAAATCACTTCTGTGTTAGTTGGCTGTCCTGCTGCTGGGATAAGATAGTAAAATACCTGACACCAGCACCTTAAAGGAGGTGGGATTTATTTCCTCATGGGCAGCAGGGCCAAGGAAGAAGGGCATGGTGGAGAAAGCTGCTCATATCATGGTGGCTGGGAAGCAGACAAGGTTGGAAAGAGCCAGAGTCCAGATATGGTCTCCAAGGCTAAGGAGATCCCCTATGGCTATGTCTTCCCATGACTCCAGAAAACAGCCACTTGAGCAGAAGATAGGTTTGTGTAATAAAAGGCCCTGTCTCCCAACAGACCAATAACAAACTGAGGAGGTCAGCATCTCCCCTCCAGTCACCTCACCACCAGGGACTTAATCCAGGTGACATCAGGATTACCTGGCTCACAGTCATACGGAAGACCACTTTGAACACACCAATCTGGGGATGGGTGAGTAACTCTTGACCTGCAGAAAATATTTGGCCAGAAGGAGAAAACCTTTCCTGTCCTACATCACAGAGATGCTGGAGGTGCTTGGTGTGGCACTGTGCTCTCTCTGGTGCAGGGTCAGCTTGACTAGCCTTGGAATCTGCCAGGGGCACTGATGCAGCACACTTCTGCATTTGTCTTAGGGGTCTTGGGGCACGGATTTAGGTGGTATGTGTGGTGCTGGGCTCCTGCTCTCTGGTGCTGTTCCCTCTTCTCTCCTTCCTGCCCACAATAGACAGGAGTATCCTCTACTATGACTTTCCTCCATGATGTCCACTGGCTTGGAGCCTGGAGACCATGGACTGAAACCCTTAAACCAGGAGCCAAATCAGACCTCTCTTCCTTTAAACTGCAGGCATCAGGCAAGCTGATGAGCACAAGTGTATCGTAACCTGCTCTGACCCATGCACAGCGTGGCAACACCTTGGAGTGAGCACGGTTTCAGCACGAACGCTTTGAAGCAAGAGCACTGGTGTTTCGAGGCATAGAAATTTCACTTAAAATGATTTACTTGCAGCTGAGGACAGCCCACCTGTGAATTCCTGTGTGGCTTTAACACTTAGTCCTTCATCACGCTTTCTGGTTCTGCTGTGGCCGGGGATCCCACACTTCGCTCTGTGCAGCCTGAAGCCCTTACAGGCCTGGCTGCAGCTTCTCTCCACCTGCTGCTGCCAGCTTCCAGATTAACCCTAAAGCCGCACTCCTGGGCACTCCCGGGGTCCCCTATTACCTCTGGCAGCAGCAGCACTCTGCCTCCAAGGACTTACTTGGGCTCACATTTTTCTTTCAGTATTTTGAATCTCTCACCAGCACTGCTGGAATGGAACAGCCAGGTTCAAAGAGACAGGAGATGGAGAGGTGAATTCTGGCAGGACAGAGAGGGCTCTTCAGATGGGGGCATTTCAGCTGGGATTGAGAAGACAAGTAGGAGTTCACCTCTGGGTTTAGATGGTATTTTTCATGACTACCATGTTTTAGCTTTGTTTTCTGAGAAGAGCGATGTAGTAAATTATTCATAATGAAGTAGTAACACTGTAACCATAGCGAAGGTTTCAGGTTGCTCTTTAACCTAAAACTGGAACCCAGGACAGGTAGTGGGAGAGGCTGATGCGGGAATGCACAGTCTTTGAGTACGGTGATTCTGGGGTAGGCGATCTGCTGGTCGGTTACTCAATAGGGTGCCTGTGACCTTCAGGTAAACACAGAGGTGGCCCAGTCTGACACCTGCTGAGCACCAGTGTGGGGCAGTCCCTACAGGCCAGATCAGGGTTGGCAGAAGTTCTCTACAGAAGGGCAGAGGGCAAACATGTTACACTTAGCTGGCCAGGTGGTGTCTGCTATTATGATTTAACCTCCCATGCTGTGGCTGAAATCAGATTGAGACGTGACACAAACAAGGAATTCTTTCCCCACCAGGCAGTGGACCAGGCTGGCCCTCTGGTGATAGCTTGGTGACTGCAGCTGAACACGATCCTCTTCTATTACGAAAAGAAAAACAACAGCACAAGTGCAAGGGGAGCAGGAGCAGGGGCAGAGGGAGCTCCTTGTGGAGACGGTGAGATCGTGGCTCTGGGAGGCTGCAAGGTCCAGGCCAGCCCCGAGCTGACTTCACAGTCCAGCTCAGCTCATGGAGCCCCAAGGCCTTTGTTAAATGTTAGTTACACACCGTACATTTAGGTCTGAGACTCTTCGTAGAGAAGGACAGCATCAAACAGAAGCCTTCCAAAAGCCTAGCCCTGGGTGGGTTTCTGGCAGTCCCCATCTCTTTTAAATCAACAATGGGGGCTCATCCCTGAAACAAAAGTGTAGTTGATCTATTTTCTCCCCAGACTCCAATGTTGGGGTCTATAGTTAGACCCCCAGTCCCCTAAATGGGTGCACGGTGAAGACTCAAAGGAATGAGACATGCAGCATGGTCTTTAGGGCTGCAAGAGGAGTGAGATCCTCGGCAGAGGATCTCCTAAGTCTGCTAGCTGGCCAGCTCGCTGACACTGGGCAGCCCATATTGAATTAAAACAAGCAAAGAACTGAGTGGACAGTGGAGGAAACTTGAGCAGGATCTTGGAAGGGGGTCAAGGGCCATTCAGAGCAACAGATGATGCTAATTAAGGAAAAATATCCAGGAAGTCTCCAGGTGGCCATAGCTGTGGCCTGTCTTGCCCCGTGAGGCGTCTACTCATTCTCAGTTCAGCTGTGCCTGGCCCATGCCACAGCCCCGCATGTGTATTCAACTTCAATGGCTCCAACACTTCCGGTCTGATTCCAGTAGAGGTGTGCCTTTGCTGGCAAGTGCAGATCCGGTTTCTAACCCAGGATCAAACTTACTCTCAGCAGCTGTAATAGTAACCAGAGGGAACAGGAGTCTTTCTGTTTAAAGGTTTGCCAATGTGATTTTCAAAATGTGTCGTTTCCAAAAACATTCTGAGAAGAAGTTGATCCTTCTAGCAAAGACTTTTCAAAGGTCACCTTAATAGCTGATGTTGGTGGGCATGGTCACTGGGTTTCTCAGGTCACTTTCCAGAATATTTCCCTGTCAGCTCGCTATTATTTCATTATTAATGCTGGTTTCTGCCATCAAGCCATGCAGATTGAAAGAGATCAAATGAACTTTTAAGGGTGATCTTCTCCTTTTCTCACTTCATCATTTCACTGAGCAAATTTCCATGATTTGAAAGGAAAGCATTTAATTTGGTTGGCTTTAACCAAGTAAAATTGGAGGAAGGGCCCTATGTCTTTGGGACGGTGTTTGTTTTACCGTGTGATTATGTGGCTCACCACATGCAAGGGCACAGGCACACACCACCATACACAGCTGGAGACTGTGACATGGGTGCAAGATCACTGACAGCAGGAACTGTCCCAGGGGAAAGTGCAGGACAGTGATGGACCGCAAGGCTGCCTGTGGGACGCAGGGGCCACAGAGGCTCTCAACACTTTCTGCTCATTTGCGGTGAACCTAAAGCCTGTCCTAAAGAGAGACAGGAAATCATAAAACCAGCGATGCAAAACTCGGGGTTCTTCTGAAGGTGGGGAAGCCCATCCAGTGAAGACAGCCTTGGAGCAGTGAAGACAGTGAATACAGGTGTTATTGCCTCCTCTGTTCACTCCTCATGGTTTGTCCTTCTGCTCTTATCAGATTAGACATTGGTGCCCATGGCCTAGTTCCAAGCCGCTCCTTAGCCCAGGTCCCTGTGATATTCAGAACCCTTTCATGAAGGAAGGGTCACGCTCACCCTACCATGTTCACCCTGGGGTTCTCTGGAGGATTTCAGCACAGACACTCCAGGTCCCAAGCATGTGCACTGCATTTGCACACAGAAGGCATAAAACCTTCATGTCAGTGCCTGCGGGAAGAGTGCCAGGATGCCTGTGTGTGGATCGAGTCCTTCACACCCCTGGGCCCAGTGTGTCCAGGAGGGTTAGGGTCCGGGATCTCTCTGCAGGCAGTGGGGTTTCAGGTGTTCAAGTCTGTCACAAGCCAGCTATTTGCAAATATCACCTTTTCATAACAAAAGCCATGTACTAGGTAATCTACATGTGGTTTAAGGTGTATATCACGGTCATTTTTAATAATAGACATTTTGCATCCTTGAGGAGTAAACTCTTACATGTGAGGTTCAACTCTGTTCCCTAAAACATGGTGAGACCTGAGAATTTTTCCTACTTTTAAAATGCAGGAAGTGAAGCCATGGAACAGAAGCTAATGCCTGGACCCACAGTTTCCCAAAAGTGTAGAGTTATCTAATAGGAGGAATCATACAGTTTGCAGAGATGAAAGCCAAGCCAAGGATCAAGCCCCAACAGGAGTAACTCAAAAACAAGGCCAAGCAGCAGTGTCCACTGCAAAGAAACAAGCAGGACAATGGGTGTTATTTCTCCCATGCTGTGGGCTTAAGGATTTGCCTTACATCACCTAGGGTCAGCTCCTCTCTCTTCTCTGAGTGGAGAGTTTTTACAGCTAAGTATGATTTCAAGCCCAATTAATATGCAGAGATTACTGCAAAATCACTTACTGTATAATGCCTGGCTGTGCTATAGTTTAACAGTTTGGCTATGGAAACTGAATTTAGACAGGAAGAAGACATCACTGATGTCCTTGACACTGTCCTTCATGTCAGGAACTGAGCCTTGGACTGCTGGGTGGTGCCTGTTCTGGACACATGCTTGGAGGTCACCCAGCAGTCTCAGGCTCACTCGTGTTCCCGTTCCTTTCTTTCTGTGGCGGGGAGTATGCAGGAGAATCAGCAAGGTTAACCACTGTTGGTGTTGCTTATCCAAGGCATTTCATAGCAGCCACCACCCAGGAGAGGAGACCCCAGAGTCTCTTCCATCTGGGGCTTTTGATTTCACTTCCTGTGTTTCTTCACCACAGGACAGGAGAGATGAGACAAGGGAGGCCAGACGTTTGGTTTAGCTTGAGACCATATTTGTCACTGAAGTAAATCAGACACACGTATTCAAATATTGCGAGTTTCCCTGGTGTGAGAAACCAAAAGGGTAAATGAGGGCCATGATGTGTAATAAATGTCAGAAAATAGGAAGAAAATGTTCAAACGGGAAGGGGAACTAGCAGGGTAGAGGGGGAAGGAAAGGAGGGAAAAGAATAGAAAAATAAGAACAAAGCTTTCATAAGTAAAAGAGGGACAAGAGGTTGCAGGGAGGGGAGGATATTAAGGAGAAAAGAAGAACCAAGATCTATCATGTGTAGTACAAAGTCCCTGTGATGAATGTGGTCACTCTGCATATCTAAAACGCACCAGTAAAATTAATTTTAGAAAAACACTTTTGGCTTAGAGATTGTTATATAAATGAGTCTAAGGTGGTCCCAGGGTAGGAGAACACTGTTGTTAACCTCATGGTAGTATGAGACCATCACTGATGCCAAACTCAAAATGTCACATTTCTAATTGCCACAAATGCAGCTCCAACAGAGCCTTCTTGTTTCAAATCCCCTGAAAAACTGTGCTCAACAACTGTCCACCGTGGTGAAGACCAAGCTGAGTTGTGAAGTGCCCAGGTAACTGCCTGCACCCTTTGAAGGTCTGCGTGTGCCCACTAGGCTGCCAGCTGATGTCACCAGGATGGATGAGCATCCTTGGATCTGCTCCCCTTCTGAGCAGTGTCCCTGCACCAAAGCCTCCAGCTGTTCTGCAGCAAGGGACTCCGGTATACAAAGCTGTGCTTGTCTGTCCCAATGCAGCTTTTGAGTGCCCCCTCACCTCACAATGTACCCATCACTAAGTCATTCCCCAAGTCTCTGAATTCCCTGCGGAGACAGAGCAGGCCCTGAGTCACAGAGTGTGAGGCTTGGCATGATCGCCTTGTTATGGACAATGCAAATCCATCCTACAACATGGTCAGTCCTTGTCCGTTTTGCCCTCCTCCCACCCTGCTATTTCTGTTACCACTCCAGCTTCTGTGACCTCACGGAGCTCGGTGCCTAACTTCCTGCTTTACAGTGATGCAATGAGAGGTGACGTTTCAAACTCAGGCAGTTGCTGGTGGTGACAGAGCTGACCTGCTTCTGCATGT